TTGTTGTTGTTTAGCGGGTTGGGGCCAGGTTGGAACCCACCACCCCCAGTGCATGTGCCCGGCGCCCTAATCACCGAGCTATGGGTACCGAGCCAACACATCATCTTATTAACCTTATAAGGCTTTCTTCCCTATAGCCTTCACTTTTCTACCCAGGAAAAATAATGTACATCCTGTGCCAGGGACACTCTCCAGGATGTATTAGGCCCTCCCAAATGGTGGCAGAAGGGGTCAACTTTGCCCCTTCTTCCCACCTAAGTCCTTTCAGAAGGGCTCAACAGCATGGCTTACTGACAGATTTATTATTTTTTTTTTAAATTAAAACTTATGTTACTATTAAACTGGATTTTAGCCCCCATCCACATATCCTTAAAACCCGGTCACCTTGGGTGGCACCTGTGGCTCAGTGGGTAGGGCGCTGGCCCCATGTCCCGAGGGTGGTGAGTTCAAACCCAGCCCAGGCCAAACTGCAACCAAAAAATAGCTGGGCATTGTGACAAGTGGCTGTAGTACCAGCTACTCGAGAAGTAAGAGAATCACCTAAGCCCAGGAGTTGGAGGTTGCTGTGAGCTGCATGAGGCCACGGCACTCTACGGAGGGCGATAAAGTGAGATTCTGTCTCTACAAAAAAAAAAAGCCCAGTCACCTTACTCCCTAGTGCCAATGTGAGACCTCAGCCTAGCCCTCTCTGCTTCTCACTGTTAGAAGTTCACAGTCCTAAGTGTCCAGGGACATCTATGACAGTGCAATCTACTTCCTGGCAGATGAGGAGCCATCAGAGTTGCCTTTGGATTTAGTCCAAGCACAGAGCAAAGGTTTGTCAAGAGACCCCAGCCTCATTCCCTGGCCAGGAGAGTCTGCCCGGGTGAGTGTGGATGACTGGCAGGCAGCTCTGAGAGCAGGAGGTATGTCTGTCCCTGAGCTTCCAGATGTCACTTGTGACCTGGTCTCCAGTGACAGAACACAGGTTAATACCATGAGTATTCACACATAGCTGCAATTTAGTATGTCGACATAATTCGTAAAT